TCCCTCTGCTGCAGGCCTGTGGCACGTGCTGCTGCCTCCCAGGTCGCAGGTTCAGCCAGCAGTGAGGTTGGGTGCATCACCCAGAGACAGAAAAGATTGTTCCTCGGTGAAGATGTGAATGCTTGCCTAATGCGGCCAACACATCAAACATCACAGACTCAGCTGACTACAGGGAAAGATTTTTACTTGTGTCTTACTATCTAAACTTTCAGACCCCGTGTTTTTCTTCCTCAGTGTAGTAGAAAACAGACTTTGGTCCATTTAACTGCCTGGATGTCAACACACTATTCTGACTATTCACCTTACTCTGCAACAGAGTTTTCAAAATTCATGTTTTTCTCCTGGTTTTCTCCTTTAATCAACTATCCCATAAAATAAGTAGCAGTGCTCAGGCTTGGTGTGCTCCCGGTTTTGTCACTCTTGTTTTGAGTAGGGCCTGTTGTTGTGAGACATCTACAAATCTCTATTACCAATAAATTTACAGTTTGTTTTCAGAGTGGCCTTGTGCCCTTTTTACTTGCCATTGCATGCATTGCTAACTGACAAATGGAGCCATAACTTGTGTCTTGTGTTCTACTCACTATGCAGCATTTCCATTGCTCCACAGTCTTCAACTTCTGACACAAAATGGATAATGTTAAGTTTAATATGAACACCACCTTGTGAAATAAAAAAGTCATAGGAAGGCTGTTCACTGGGATGGTAATGGTGCTTCTGGGAATAGTTATCAAGCTTTCAAAACGAGACAGGGAAAGTAGCGATTTGAGAATGTATGTTGTTGCTCCATCTCGTACATAAAGCCTTGGTTTGGAGTATTTGAAAAAAAAAAAATTCAATTGTTAGATACAATTATATGCATTGCTTAATTACAATTAAGTCAATCTTCAGATTTAGTGTCCTGCAGAAGTGCTGAGAGCCACATATCAAGACTCCTATCTCTGTGGTCTAACTTATGCAACGTTAACACTGTTCTAAATTTCAGGCAACAAAAGGCTGCTCTACCCATCAAAGCACAGAACAAATAAAACATATTTTTTAATAATGTTCAAAATTTGCAGAGCTCCATTTCTGTTATTTCCAGTTGGGGTTTAACAGATTCCATAATTTCATATCCGTCAAAGCCATGGGTGGCCCATCCTCATCACAGCCTAGGCTGTATTCAAGAGTGTGAGGCTGATGAGTATGGCTGCATCTGTTACAGCTGCAAATTAAGATCAGCTTTCCCAGTTGACTACTCACGTCTTGAGACTGTAAGAGTTGTAGGATGATCTTCATTTGTACAGATTCTCAGCAGGGACAAAACAGTCTACACTTGTGCACTTCTAATAGCAGGAAAAAAAAAAAAAAAAGGATCCTCCACTTTCCTTTCCTTTATCCCATTGACCAAACTTCATATCTGCAGCCCCTTTAAACTGACTGCTCTGTTATTCTGAAGACCTAGCCACCATGAACTGAAAGTAGTGAATGAAGGAGATATAATGACTTCACTTCCTCTCTGCTCCTTCATCTCTTTCACCTTGTGACCATGCAAAAAAGAGTGAAGAAGGCTATTCCTTCTTTATGCTGTTCTTATAGGCTGTTTTCCAACATAGTTTGGATGTACTGATCCTGGTTTTCCTCCTTCCTGTCCTGTCCTCCTCTTCCCTGTATCTTTCAGTCCCAAATAGCAGAGGTTTATCACTGTAAAAAACCACAACAGTAATGATCAATGGGTGTAAATCACAGCTTGGGACGTTCTGCCTGGATATTAGGAAAAACTTTCACCAAGAGGCAGCACAGCACTGGAACTGGTAACCAGAGTGGTGAAGGAGTCTCGAACTTTGAGGCTTTGAAGTCTCAGATAGATAAGGTCATGACGATGTGAAATGGCATTAGTGATAAGCCAGCTCCAAGCAGAAGGCCGGATCTTCCAACCCCCGGAAGAGTGAACACTTGGCTTTTGCTCCAAGACCAAAGGGGTCAGGAAGGCAAACCGGTGCTGCTCTGCGTCCATCCGTAACGGCCTTGCCACAGAACTGTGAACCGTAGGGCTCTGGACTCTCTCGCCCGAGATATCCTCAATGGAAGCCACGCAATGCGAGCCACGTCATTTTGGAGCCGAACCCCCCGGAAGAGTGAACAATTGACTTTTGCTCCAAGAGCGAAGGTGGCAGCAAGACAAACTGATGCTGCTCTGCATCCAGCCGTGATGGCCTCGCCGCAGAACCTTGAACCGTAGTGCTCTGGGCTCTCTTGCCCGAGATATCTCCAAGGAAGTCAGGCAATGCGAGCTGCCTCATTTTGGAGCTGTGACCTAGTTTCTGATATTTCTGTGATTCAGTGAAGAGCTTCTGTAGCGTTGGAGAACATTTTGGTATCACGTCCACTTGATGCGGTTTCATTATATTTCCCATTTATCAGCCTGTACTTAGCTTGGTTTGTTGCTCAGGCTGTCATTTCAGCCTACGTTCTATAATTAGGAAAAATCACATTTTGCTAATAAAAGAAAGTTGCTAAAACTGAATATGGAGAAAGCTCTTCTCAGTGTTTGAGTATAAAGAAGCAGATATAAATAGGCTTCTCAGCTAGCATGTGCTCTAACAAGTAGTTTACTTCTAAATACAAATCTTTGCACCAAATAGATCCCTGAAGATAGGGCTTGGAAAACATTAGGGGCACCAGAGGTATCAGGCTTTTGGTTGCCTATCCAAGGCCTAGCTCTGCTGTATTGATCAGCAAGAGAGAGAACATGAGCATGGTCTCTTACTAAATGTAAATGTGCCCATAGTTTCCCTGCCCAGGACAGGATTCAGGACTCTGACGGCCAAAGAATGTTTGTCAGCACTGTAATGTAAGGTGTCACACAAGGTTCCATGGAGCACAAGTCCTATGTTAATGCTACATCTTCACTTAGGCTCTCAGAAGGTGATAAGGCCCTAATCTTTTTGACCTGTGCTTACAGTGAAGGTTTAATATCACCTCACCTGACAATTATTTGTGCTAAGGTCGTCCCAATAACAAAACTGGATGGAAATGAGCTGTGGAGCTGACTGGTATAGTTTGCCTCTCAGCAGATTGACAGAGCTGTTGTCTCCTTCTTCCTCCTGTTACTCCATGCAACTCACGATTTTTTTTGTGCCATGCAATGTCTCCTTTCAGCTAAGGGCTTTGATCACCCATGGAGCATGATGAAGAATCTAAATATACGAAACACCTGTAGACAAGGATCCCTGCAGATTGATATATCTCTCACCTATCCTTAACAGCTTCTCATGAAGAAAAGCTGTTAAAAGTCTCTCTCTTGTAACCATTTGTCTTGAAATTTTTTACTGTAAATCTGCATTCATGGACACCTGCATTAGTATCATTTTACTGCATCTCACCTTGTATTCTGCAGTGCTGCTGCAATGCTTGTCCTTGTATTAAGGATAGTTTGCTGAATTCTCATTGAGTTGTTTTAGTTTTTGCTCTTACGTTAGGTAAGTTTATAAAGATGTTGCAAACACAAGAAAATAATAGAAATAGATAACGCATATATCACTGCGTGAGACAAATACAAACTATGCTAAAGAACACCAAAGGCAAGAGCTGGATGGTTCATTGATTGAACATCTGCTGCCTTGCTATCCAGTCCAAGAAGTAGCTATATACGCTTTCTGAAACATAGATTTTGTCCACCATTAGTGACAGATCAGTCTTTTCTTTCACCTCCAACTAACTTGCATGAAACATAACTTGAAATAACCTCAAGAGTTCAGTGCTAGAATGAATTCTGCAGTCCACTTGCTTTCTCTGACCACACATATATTGACTCTCTACCACAGTTCTGTCTAAATGAGCTCCAGTTTAGCTGGAGTTTGTTCATTCAGTCTGGGATGCTGGTTGCCAGTTTACTTTCTGCAGTTGGCTTCTTTGGAACAACATATTCGTCTAAGTTACATGTCTTGCTTCCCTGAAAATAAGTCTTTGGTTCCTAAGTGACGCAGGGGCAAAACAATAGCCTGTATGGCCAAACAGGAGGCGGGAAGAGGAGAAAATGAGTGGTAGCCTGGGTACATTGGGGATAGAGTGTGTGCAGCATCAGCTTGGGATCATGTCTCCTGCGGAAAACTTCGTAAGAGAATGCCATTCCATCCAAGAGCCGTAGTTGCATCAGATCAAATTAAGCAAATCCAAATTATGTCCCCAGGTGGAGTGTCTCAGCTACTGCCATCTAAAGGAAGAGCTCAGGTGAGACAACACCTCATTTACCATTGTATAGGGAAAAAATAGGAGGAAATAAATACATCATTTTCAGATGTCAACACCAGTGGTTCTCAACAAGGTCCCAGGGTGCTGTGATCCCAGTCCCAAGGGCGGCTGAGCACTGCTGAGCTACTTCAAGGGCTATGAGAGCTGCAGCTACTCCATTACTTTCAGATGAGTCCCTCTGGGTGTAGGTTATAAACTGGCAGTTTAAAAACAAACTTTTAATTAGATCCACAGAGGCATCCACAAAGTTGTCCAATAGTCCAAATGAATCTATAACTAACTTCCAATAACATTAAGAGTTGCAGTCTCCAGATACCTCCTCTGGTCAGCAGCTCATTTTGAACAATGGGGAAAAGTTTCCAGGGCAGAGATGAAGGGGATTAAAGCCCCCATTAACATCACCCAGAGTCATGTATGTGCTCCTTTCACACATCTTGGCTGGGCTTTCTTACTTCATGGTCTCAGAGTGCTCCAGCTTCATCTTCCTCTTCCTCATACCAGTATTTCTGAGGTCCTTGGTATTCCACGGCCATGTTTTCATTCTTGCATGGGTTTAGTTACCCATATGCAACTCTGTCATGGTGCTTCTCTTGCCCCACAGCAATATGAGACTGTGTCACTCTGTTTCATTGAGTCCTGCTATTTTGGGCTGGTGGGATTATCTTGTTGAGAACCTAACTGATACTCTAGATAAGATGGAGTGGTCACAATGTGCGACCTAATATGACAGGCTATCACATTGTGAGAGAAAAAGTTGAAAAGGGAAGTTAACAGGCACAAGTTTTTCAGAACTGGTGAAGGGTGATGCCCCTAAGGGCTGTGAATGACTGAGGACACCCATACTGATTATTTCACAGAAGAAACTAGATGCCCAGGAAAGCTGAAATCCCAGAATAATCATGAAGCAAGTTCTCAATCAGATAAGAAAACTTGGATCTGTCTTCAGTATGCCAGTCTTCCTTGCTACATTCATCTTCTTTCTTGTCTTAACTACAGGAGTTCAATTTAATATTTTCCAGGGCCTGTAGAGTAATTTTTAGTTTGTCTGTCTTTTTTTATTTTCACTTGCTGATTTCAGTTTAAATCTTCTCATCCTTTCTTTCATGACTTCCCTTTTTAGATTTGTCCTTTCTCTCTAGTTCTAAACCAGTTTTCTTTCAATAACTCTTTTTTTTTTTCAAATAGGAAAAGCTTGCATATTTAAGATAACATTAACTGATATATGAAACCATTTTCTTAGCAGAGATGTAAGACTATGCCTTTGGCTGGCTTAGGGTATGACTAAGTAGAGAGGTGAAAGAAATGCCCCACCTTTAACAAACCGTGAGGAGAAGTCAGTTGCTAGACTGCCTACTCTTTTTTTACAAAATTCTATTTTGGTTGGTTTATGGTTCAGCATCTTTCCCAGAACGAGTTCCCAGCTGGTGTTTATCAAGACAAACAACAGAAACTGAATGAGAGCAGAGTGATACTTTTTCTCACCAAAGCAAAATGATGCCAGTCATCCTGCTGTTACCACCTCAGCCAGTTTCAGTTCCTGGTTCCCAGAAAGCTGGGAACTTCACAGGAATAAGGAAACACTACTTCTTCTAAAGGCTATGCACATTTTTTCAGTGTCTTGCCTCTGTTGGAGGCAGCATTTCTTGACTCCTGTTGACTGCAGAACAGGGATTCAGTACCTGTTAAAAAGTCTCTGTCAAGATGCTGCAACTGCCAGATCCAGCTGCCAGATCCTGACCTTGTTGGAGTCCCAAATGGAATGGTGATCAAAAAATCGTGACCAAAGCCAATTCAAGCCATCTACCTTAAAACTGCCTTAATCTCTCTAATCAGATAAATCACCATAATGTTTCCGAATAACAAAGTAGCTTTTTTCCTGTGAACGTATCTGCAGCATCAGTGAGGCTGCTAAAGCCAAAATCTTTGCTTCCTACAACAGTAAGATACCCCTAGAAGCTCAATATTGCTGTGATTTTGCATGCAAAGAAGATCTGCAATCTTTCTTATCCTCTTTATTCTCTTTTACCACTGGCTATTTACTTCATATTGCTCGAACATTATTTTCAGCTGAAAAGTTTTGTCTCTTCGCCATGCCATAGCCACAGGGGTGTCTGGGCTGAGAGCTCCACTTGCTCAGCTGTCACTGAGACTGGCCAACCCCCTCCTCCAGGCTCCCGGGTACGTGTCTCAGCTGTTTCCATTTTTCTCCAAACTGCTCCAGATTGCCCTGATCTTCCCAGTAATGCTTCCTGGGCAAATTTATTGTTTATCTTGCCTTCTTTGGAGCAGGCTGGCAGTTCACAGATGTGGATAGGCAAGCCCAGCACGGGTCCTTTTTCTGAAGACCAAGGAGAACATCCTCTGAAGTATGTTGCAATTGCTGATAGAAACTGATAATGATGTGATTCATTAACCGTAGCTGGATTCCAAGAAACTCTTTATACAAATTTGGGCTAAGGCAGGCCAATCCCAAAGCCTTGCAGGCGTGTACTGAAAAAAAATCACACAGTTAAGAGTGTGTGGGAGGAGAGCAGAGCTGAACTCTGCAGCAAGGAAGAAGGTGCATCTCTCTAACACACTGCAGACTAAAGACATGCAAACACTAATGCTAACATGCAGTTTTTACTAATCCATTATGAATTTGGCTGTAAGAAGGTGTAATGAAAACGCTGGGAACCTGAAAGGTGTGGGCTAGAGGAGGAAGTACGGAGTCGCTTTGACATGCATATTCTCATCCTCTCCCGCTCCTTGTTTGTCTTGTTGCTGTGTGTTCTGGCACTGGGATGCATGCCTCACTCCAGCTAACGCTCCCCTGTTCGGTGAGCCGTGTTTTGGAGGTAATGTGTAGGCGTGTGTTGAAACGTTGCGGGGAGGGGTAAGTCGCATGTTAATAAAGGACAGCTTATCTACACAGACACAAACTGAAACAATAATTTGCCTCACTTATTTCACTGTAAGGCTGGGCACTACGGTAAAAAAAATAATAGTGTATATTACTGCTGACTGTGTGGTATTGGTTACTGGGTACTTGCTGACTCATCTAGGTTCACAGCCAGTCCAGCAACAGAAAAGGACGATCTGAAGATGAAAAAAGTTGGAATAGACTTGTCAAAATAGTTCCTTGTAATTATTTTTGAATTGTTGCTAAGGTAGCAGATTTTCTCCTGCGGTTTGGGCTACAGAAGAGGATAAACACAAATTAAACCAAGAAATGCCACCTAAGCCCCTGAATTTTATTTTACAACACCAAGAGAAACTATATATAAGTTAATCAGCTGCTGTTCTGAACTTCTCAGAGAATTTGCTAGAGGGAGCAATCCTACTCTGCAAAGCATCTGACTAAAATAGATTCTTCACTGGAGAGAATTACTTCCACTTATAATCTGCCCAATTTGCTAGGTGGAGTTATACAATAATCACCTCCTCAATTTTACTTCTGTTACACTGCAGAGATAACATGCCATGCAGGGAGATTTCAGGGTTGTTGTTTTATACAACAGCATCTAGAAACTCCAGCCATATTGAGAATTTAATTTTGTAAATGCTTTGAGTATATTCTGTGTCCTGAATTGTTTGCAGAATCTTAAACAAAAAAAAAAAAAAAAAGTTGAAATTTCAAAAAAAAGTTTAGAAGTTGAAAGTTAAGGAAGTGAATTGAGAGACTACAGAGGGTAAATTCTGCTGTCATAGTTTTAATTCCAAGAAGTTACATGACACATTTAAAAAAGAGTAAAACCTGGTAAATACAACTTTGGCATTTTTCTGCCTAATTTCCAAACTGTGACTCTGCAGAGTCGCCATTACTGGCCTTGCAGGAACCAAAACTCCACAGGTATTTCAGTTTGTGACAGCAAAGATCCTCAGGTACACACAGTTCTCCTCCTGTCCACACTGGACGTCTGACCAAGGCTGAACAGAGTAATAGACTCAAATAAAGTTTTAGATGGGAGGGGACCTATGGAGCTCTCCAGTCCAACACCTGCTCCCAGCACAGCTGGCTCCAGAGCTAGATCAGGATGCTTGTCCAGGCAACATATGAACATTTCCAAGGAGGAAGATCTCACAGCCTCTCAGGACACCTGTTTCAGTGACGAACCACTCTTGTGAGAGTAAGTGTGTTTTTAGTTTATTTCCAATCAGAATTTTCTTTGATGTAAATGTTGTGACTGCTTCATTGTACCCCCTTGAGAGGACTCTGGCTCTGTTGTCTCTGTAGCCCCCCAATAGCTAGCTAAAATAATCATTTAGATCCCTCTTAGCCAGGCTGAAAAAATCTACCTCCCTCAGTCTCTCCTTTGACACTGTGTCCTCTGCTCCTGTTGAGCTTGTCATTGCTCTTATGGGGGATGGCGACAGTGGACACACTGTTCCAGATGTGTCTTCTTGTGAGACAGGTAAAGGTGAATAATTACTTCACCTGCTGGCCACATTCCTG